AGGCGAGAGTGCGAGAGAGAGAGAGAGAGAGAGAGAGAGAGAGAGAGAGAGCGGAGGAGACAGCGCGGGGGAGAGAGGTTCGAGGCAGCGTCGTCACCATACCAGGCGCGCGCATGATCGCTTGAGCAGACGTGGTGTGCGTGGGAAAAAATCAATTATGACGAGAACACGTGAAGAGACGTGAAATATAGCGGTAGCGCCACGTACGATATACAGGTAAGCGTCATACGTAATTAACAAGTATTAACTATGACCGGTGTGAGTTTCAGGTAAGTGTAACAAGTGGTACAGGTAAGTGTTACAGGTAAGTCGTATAGGTAGGTGTTAGAGATAAGCGCTACGGGCAAATGTTACAGGTAAATACATGTAAGTTCTACAGGTAGGTGTTAGAGGTAGGCGTTACAGTTAAGTGTAACAAGTGTTACAGGTAGCAGAGTTGCAGAGTTGCAGGTAAATTCTACATTACAGCTCGGCGCGATATATTGCCAGATCAATCACGCTTCACAGGCCCAGCTCGAGATTCCCGCGTGAGGGCAGCACTGGCTTATGAACGTCATGTGCAGTGTGAAAGAATTCGTTTATCGTGTTATCGTTAAACATGATGTAATCCGTGTTGTTTGCAAGATTAAACCATCACAAATTTCCATGATATCAGTCAGTACCTTTGTATATTTAATGAAAAAACATATTGTCGATTATATGTCATGTATCGATCAGTTAAATTCGCGTTTTGTTCATAGGATTAAAAGAATACGAGCCCCGTGATATATCAATACTATATTCTCATATCTAATTGTAACAATATATATATATATTGTGGGCAATATAATTCATGGCGTGGGTGGATGTTTCGACAGTTTCATAAGGTAATCCCTGCACATGGTTTTATAATAAGATAGAGGCTTTGTTTCTACATCCGTATCCTTCCCCCTCTCATCCCACATTCTCATCTGAATAATGTCATTGCAGCTAGGGATGTTTTTAAACGCGGCAACTTCCGGGTCCGTCATGAAACCTCCTTGATGAATTAGCGTCTGCTTGCTAGCCTCGGATAATTCTGCAGAAAAATGTATAGAGGTTGCTAATAACACGGCATAGAGACAGATAGCATAGGATATGATATACACCTAACAGAACATAATCGCTACGTAATGTGTGCGATTTGGTTGGGAAATGCTGAGACGAGAGAAAGAGTAGAAACGGTAGTATTATCGTTAGAAAGTTATGCGGGATTTTTAATATAGGCTTACATTGTGGAAATGTTTTTGAGGTAGAGACATGAGGTAGAGAGGTATGAGACATTGGTCAGGTGTCAGAGCCGTGGTTTTCTTATACTGAAACTTATACTGGTGAACTTATATAGATAACACTTGACACGTTTTCTTCATTTTCTACATCTATGCTAGCTGCCAGCTGGCTAGACATTTGTAGAATTTCTGAAGTAACGAAGCTAAGACAAGATGGCGGGTGAATTACTTGAATAATAGTTCTCGTCAATTGTCACCAGGTAGCGCTTTGCCTCGACGTGGTAGCGCACCAGATCCGTAACGGCTGCCGGGAAACCCAGCTCTTCCAAAAACTCTGCGCCTATGACGTCATGTTGCTGTATACCTAGCCGCATTCCATCGGTCAACATCTCTTGTCTTCGATCGGCCGTTCCAACTAGATGACCAATGTCGTGCAACAGTGCTCCAAGAATAATCTGAATCGAAACTCCAACTTCAAACTACTGCTACTAATATTATTACTGCTACTACTGTAAATAATCATTAGTATCACAAGTATGAAGAGTATACACATGCACTTACTCACACGCACACACATACTCACGCACGCTCATACTCATGCGCAAACACATGTGCACGGACACACGCACACGCACGCGCACGCACGCACGCACGCACACACGCGCGAGAGTTTTCTGCTTGTATATATTTTTACAGTCGATGGCATACACTATTATGTATGCATATACATATGCTATGGATACCCATAAAGATATAAATAAGATTATATAAATAGAAAGGTTGAATGAGGTTTTATTACAGAACATATACACAATATAACACAATATATAACACAACATGAAGAGACAGATGTTTTCGAAAGCTGGCAAAATAAAAATATCAGCATTGTTGGTACATATTTGTGTTGCACACCCGAGGCAGGCTCCCCCTGCTTTATTGTTATGTATGGTTGCTCCCGCGTCCCACTGTGAGCCATGCACGTGTTCTTGATTTGGCTTCTTTTAACGTGGCATTTTGCGTGTAAAACAACTCTTACATTCGACATTTCATGTTGGGTCGTGTTCTCATACATACATGGATTCCCTTCACGAGTCAACAATTTGGGTAATATGGAGTTGGATACCTTCGTTCATGTATGTTTGTTTGTGACATGGGTGCGTTTTATAAGTGTACTAGTGTTATCCGTGCATTTTTATAATAGTACTTTATTAGCCCGTGTTCATTTTAAGGTTGCGCTTGCACACTTACTTACGTAAGTTGAATTCAGTTATATTCCTGTTCCCGTGTTATACAACTACAGATATATTCGGTACGTATTTCAAGCGGCGATTACGCGTGTAATTTTTTCTGGTCGCGATTGACAGACCCATCCGCCTTCCATGTTTGCCAGGCAGCTCTAGCCAATTATTGTTGTGGAAAAAAACAATGCTAAAAGACAATGTTTGTCAACGAAGTGTCGCAAAGTCGACATTTTGGCACGCACGCGTGATCAGGAAGAACAAGAACATAAACTGGAAAAGTTTGATCGACCTAATAACAATATCTAAGTGGGTGGGGTGATTATCGTACTGGGAGTGGTAGGTCACGTGGGTTATTAACGTAAGTAACAATGGTTACACCACTCCATCAATGCTCATATTAACGCTGAGAGGGTCTATGTCCCCCGGGGTACTGCCGGAACGTACCCTGGGTACGGTCCGGTATACCGGAACGTACCCTGGTACTATCTAATATGCCGGACCGTACCTCGCCTACCCCACTAATCCAATGCCGTACGCACGCAAGTACGTACGTGTGCACGCACGCACGTACACACACATGGACGTATGCACGCATACGCGAACGCACGCACACTCGCACGCACGCAGACACGTACGCACGCACTCAAGCACGCACGCGCGCACGCGCGCACGCACGCAGATGCCGTCTTTCCGCGCCGCGCGGGAGACAGAGAACAATGTCGCGTCACGGCTACGTCACCGTTACGTCGCGCCACGTCACGGCGACTACGTCACCGCATGATCTCACAGTTGGTGGTGTGGGAGTCGCACAGTCTGCAGGCGCACTCGACTGCCTCTATCGTCGTGTAGTAAGGGTCGGGATGGTCTGGGTCGCACTGACGCAGCCGCACTAGCCGCGTGGACGTGACGGCGTGCACGCACACCGGGTGATAGCTCTTCTTATACGGATACCCGAAGTCTCCTATCTGTAACGTGTGAGCGGGAAAACCAGCTTCAATACCCTGCGTATGCTGTGGTGATAGAGGGGGTGTGGGGTGGGGTACACATTGGGAAGAATAAGGGGTGACTATACTGTTAGGGTAACCAAGGAAGGTCGCTGTCAGGGGGATAAAGGCGGGGTCGCTGTCAGGGGGAAGATAAAAGCGGGGTCGCTGTCAGGGGAAAGATAAAAGCGGGGGGTCGTTGTCAGGGAGAGTATAAAGGCGGGGTCGCTGTCAGGGGCAGGATAAAAGCGGGGGTCGTTGTCAGGGGGGGGAAAAGCGGCGGGGGGTCGTTGTCAGGGAGAGTATAAAGGCGGAGGTCGCTGTCAGGGGCAGGATAAAGGCGGGGGTCGTTGTCCTGGGGAAGATAAGGGCGGGCGGGTCATTGTCCGTACACGGGGTCGTTGTCAAGCGATACCCCTTGTTCACGTGTATAAGTTTACTACGTGTTACTGCTATTCTCTACGGATCAACTTTGCCATCGCTTTACAAATTTCGTAGAATGGAAATCTCGCCGGCGTCGCTTTCTCTCTGTATGTCTTTCTCTATCCTTCTCTCTCTTTCCCCTCTTTCACTCTCCCTCTTCATCGCTTTCTCGCTCTCCCTTCCTCATCTCTCTCTCTCTCTCGCTCGCTCGCTCGCTCTCTTTCTCTCTCTCTCTTTCTCCTTCTCTCTCTCTCTCTATCGCTCGCTCTGTCTTCCTCCCTCTCTCTCGTCCCCACTTTTCTCTCACTCTCCCAACCTCCCCCCCTCCTTTCTTCCCCTCCCTCTCTGTCTCTCTCTCTCTCTTTCTGTCTCTCGCTTTACTTTTGAATGACGTTGGGCGGAAACAGCCAGACACTGATAGCACCGCGAAGCTTGAGAGAATGTGGGGCGCGGAGAGAACACCAGGCTATCAGGAAAGTTCGTCGGCTAGAATGTGCGTGGGAGATAGGGAGTGAGGGAGAGAGAGAATGAGAAAGGGAGAAAGAGAGAGAGAAAGAGAGAGAGAGAAGGAGAAAGGGAGAACGAGAGAACGAGGAATTAGAGGAAGAGGAGAGATCGCGAGAGAGAGAGAGAGACTGAGATAGCGCCCGAGCGAGAGTAATAGAAGGGTAGACACAGAGATTGAGAGAGAGAGAGACTGAGAGAGAGGGAGAAAGAGAGAGAGAATAAAAGGCTGCTTGTGGTGGTGTATCTGGTCGCCTCATTAGCTTACTACGTGAACGTCATTAGGTGCCGAACGACCGCGAAACGGCGTGAGCGAGGCAATTAATTGCTATGCGAAGAATGCGTTGACATTGTTAGGTTTCCACTTCGTTAGTGAATCGGAACTCATTCATCGTTATATCTCTCACCTCGTGCGAGTCGCAGCGCCCCCAACATGACGTCACCGTGACGTCATCCCAGCACTGTAAGTTCCTGTAGGGTTTCGTAACACGGAATGTGTAGCTCCTTCGATGGCAGCCTAGCGTAGTCACAGAGTCGATGCTACTACTGCTGCTGCTGCTGCTGCTGCTGCTGCTGCTGCTGCCGCCGCCGCCGTCGCCGCTGCCGCTGGTCGGCGAAGCCTGCCAGAGCACCGATAGAACTCCGATCACGACGACCGAACATGAGGCCTTGCACAGCATTTTCGCACGTATCTGCAACAGAACGACAAACCCGTCGTCAATGTGTTTCGTTATCACGTCGCTCTCGCTGTTTCGCGTTCGATGGAAGGACGACGCGTTCGTGGTTAACATGGAATATGTGGAAGAACCCGGGAGGAGGGAGAAAGGTGCTCAGCGCGACCAAACAGTGAGAGAGAGAGAGAGAGAGAGAGAGAGAGAGAGAGAGAGCGATAGAGAGAGAGAGGGGGGAGAGAGGAGGGGAGATAGGAAGAAGCAGAGAGTGAGAGAGAAAGAAAGAGAGAGAGAGAGAGGCAGAAACTGTTTAAATTAAAAGAGAGGCAAATATAGATGAAGAAGCAAAGAAGAAAGAGAGAGAGAGCGAGAAAGAGAGAGAGAGAGAGAGAGAGAGAGAGAAGCGACAAGGAATGCAGAAGGAAAAAAGTGCGATACAACGCCGCACGCGGTGTGAATAACGTTGCGCATCAGCACGCACCCCACACACGCTAGCGGCGCACGCAACGCAATAACACGGACACGTACGCACTGCGGTGCGACTCACGCACTACCTACTTCCTTACTTCTGTTTTCTTACGACCTTCTGTTAATTGTTATAAATGAACGTACTTTATAGAATCATCATTGTCGAGTATTCAAAGAGTACGGAAACGAAAACAATTCGATCGATAATTTACTTTAGTTACATTTGAAGAGAAACAGACCTGATCTCATTAAAAATTGATGTTGTTTATATAAGAGTGATTGACGTTTAACGCGATGACTGTGGGTCCTATGAATCTCCATAAAACGTCCTTTACGTAAGGACACCATTCATCGTTTTGTCGGTGCACCGTAGCATACCAAATCAACGCACGCACGCACGGACGCAAAAGTGCGTACCGCAACATTCACGTACCATGCGCGCACACCGAGCGAACATCACATCCGCAAGCGCACATGCATACGAACGCACAGCGGCATTGTGCATACGCACGGCATGCTACGTACATTGCGAAGTGTCAAGAATCATGTTAAATCAAGGATTTCTTAACATTTGCGACATTTCGCAATCGACTACGGATGTGCCTCACAGGCCCTAATACTTAAACAGTCAAATATTTAAAGCGCTTGCATCTTCACGTTTGGATAGCGTCGCCATCTACTCCAGTGGCTTAATAATTAGTTATGCTAGTATGTAGTTATATAATAAGTATAACCCGATGTAGTATGAAATCATTACAACACATAGGCATGTTCTCTAACGACGAGTTGAATGAATCAATTCAAATCGCTTCATTGATTAGTTTTGCCGGCTAAAACATCTACGTTAATCGCGGGCTAAAACATGCAGCGTTATTTGCTGCTAAAACATCACGTTATTGCTGGCAAAACATTAACGTTTATTGCTGCGCTAAAAACATTACGTTATTGCTGCTTTTACAAAAAAAATCATTATGTTATTGCCTAGCTAAAACATTTACGATTATTGCTGGCTAAAACATTACGTTATGCGGCTAAAACATTACGCTGAATGCTGGCTAAGAAACATTATCGTTATTGCTGCTAAACATATACGTTAATGCTGCTAAAACATTAGCGTATTGCTAGCTAAAACATTAATGTTATTGCTAGCTAAAACATTACGTTATCGCTGGCTGAAACATTACGTCTAATCGCCTGCTAAAAACATTACGTATTGCTGCCTAAACAACATTACGCTTATTGCTAGCTAAAAACATTATGTATCTGCTAGCAAAACAATTACGTTATTAATGGCAAAACATTACGTTATTGCCTGGTTAAAACATTACGTTTATGCTGGCTAAAACCAGTACGTTATGCTGTACCAAACACAATTACGCTTATTGCCTGGCTAAAAACATCTCGTTATTCGCTGCTAAAAACATCACGTTATTGCTGCCATAAAACATCCTCGTTATTGGCTAGCTAAACATACACGTTTATGCTGGCTAAAACATCACCTATTTGCTGGCTAAAACATCACGACTACTCCGCTTGCTAAAACACTACACGTTAATCGCTGCTAAAACATTTACGTAACTGCGCTAGCTAAAACATTACGTTATTATTGGTAAACATTCCGTTAATACTGGCTAAAACATTACGTTGCTGGCGAAACATTACGTCTATTGCTGGCTAAAATCATCTCCGATGCTGGCTAAAACATTACGTATGCGCTGGCTGAAACATTTAACGGTGCGCTGGCCTGAAAACATTACGTTATCCTGGCTAAAAACATTACGTTATTGCTGCAGAAACATTGCGTTATTTGCGGCTAAAACATTACGTTATTGCTGGCTAAAAACATTACGTTATCGCTAGCTAAAAACATTACGCGTTATCGCTGGCTACAAACATTTACGATTAATGCTGGCTAAAACATGCACGTTAATTGCTAGAATAAAAACATTATGTTGTAAATTTTCTAAAAATGTTGACATATTGCCTGTAACGCTGAGGCTAGACACCACATAACGTGAG